TGTCATAATAGAATAAGAAGACCCTCATATGACCTGCACAGCTCATATTTTCCTTCTGAAAGCTACTGCTACCTAGGAGAATCTAAGCTGTAGCAGGGATGATTTATGCCAATTTGGACTAGCTTTTTTGTTCACAGTTCAGTTCCTCCCAACCAACTAGCCTTCATTTCATGAGGGCCACGCTGCAGTCTCAGCTAAACTCCATGAATCACAGTGACTTGGCTCAAGAGCAGGACTTGGCCAGGCGTGGTGGATCACTGGAGGTCACTAGTTTGAGACCAGCCTGGCCCACGTGATGAAATCCTGCCTCTACTAAAATACAAAATTAGACAGGCATCGTGGTGCACACCTGTAATCCCAGGTACTTGGGAGGCTGAGGCAGGAGAATCACTCGAACCCAGAGGGTGGAGGTTACAGTGAGCTGAGATCCTGTCACTGCACTCTAGCCTGGGCGGCAGAGTGAGGCTTTATCTTAGGAGAAAAAAAAAAAAAAAAAAAAAGAGCAGGGCTTGACCCTGACCTCTTTAACTGTCATGCACCAACTTCTGGATTCTCTCAGGAGATTCTTAATCTGAGGCTGGATTATGGCATGGCCTTATTGCCGACAACCTAAAGCCACCACTGTTAAGATGTTGTCTTATGTCTAAACCACAGACGACCTTCCTTTTCTAAGAAGTTTGTGAGGTTTGGGGAATGGCAGAAATGTAGGGGAGGCAGAAATTATAATCAAGTTCAAACCGTCATTTTCCTGTTTCTCAGACCAGGAAGAAGGTAACAAGAGGAACACTATGAAAAGATAGGCCACTGGACTCCAGTTAGTGACCCCAGGCCCATGGAAGCCTCCTTTTTTGTGCCTTAGATTCTCTTAGAAAATCAGAAGAAAAGCTATTTGGTAATTGTCACTGTGTATATTTTGTGTGTCTTCCTGTGTATTTATGCCAAGGGAGTATTTTCACAAAGTTCAAAATGTACAATAATCAGAGATGAAGCAAACCAGCGCCATTCTTTATGCAAATAAAACTCCACAAAGGGAAACTGATTCTGAATATGTTGGGAACCACCCAACGTGGGTACCAAGAGCACATGGGTAGCAGGGAAGTCAAAAAAAAGAAGGAGAATGCTGGGAGATAATGCATGAAATGAAGGGACTAAAGACTAAGAAAATAACAAAAGACAGTACTATACTAACATAGCTATGGCGGAATTGAGAGCCAGCACCCATGACTGATGGGGTACTATCTGAACAAAAACCACTGTGGCAAAAAAGAAAATCCTAAAAACAAACAAACAAAAAAACCCCACAGAAAAATTATCTTAGGGATTGATATTGGTAATTATGGTCAATTTAATAATCTTTTGGGGCATTTCCTTATATTGTCTTGATATTAAAAGGTCTATGTGCCAAAATTCTGTATTTTATTTGGAGAATCTTTATCAAAAGTAACGCTGCCAAAGGAAGTCTGAGGAATTAGTAGTATTCCTATCACTTGTTTGGAATGTGCTATTCTAAAAGAGTTTGTGATTTCCTGGCATGACAATTGTATTTTAACTTTGGTGGGAGAAAGAGTTATAGGACCACAGTCTTCACTTCTGATATTTGTAAATTAATCTTTTATTAAAAACTTGTTTTGACCATTAAGCTATATGTTTAGAAATGGTCATTTTATGGAAAAATTCTGATAATAGTGCAGAATAAATGAATTAATGTTTTACTTAATTTATATTGAACTGTTAATGACAAATAAAAATTCTTTTTGATGATTTTTTGTTTTCATTTACCAGAATAACAACTAAGAATTAAAAGTTTAATTATAGTCAAAAGAAGAAAACACTGTTAATTATTATAGTTATGCAGTGATTTCTCATTCTAAAGAATAATTTATCCCAGAGTCTAGCTACAGTGCAATCTCAATCCACATACTCTTAATTTAGGTTGTATGATAATCTGATTATTCATTCACCATTTCCTACTTATATTTTTTACACTCTTCACAGACCACTTTTTTCACATTTCTTGATCATCTCAGGCAATTTTTCTTTTTTATTAGAGTCTTGCTTTGTTGCCCAGGCTAGTCTCAGATCCTACCACCTCAGACGCCCAAAGTGCTGGGGTACAGGCGTGGGTCGTGGTGCCCAGCCCCAGGCTATTAATCTTTTTTTTTTTTTTTTTTTTTTTTGCACCTGCCCCTTATTTCTGTACAGTGACAAGTCCCAGGATTGTGTTGTGGGACTTATCCAGTACACTGACAGTAACCTCAAACTTGGTCATCTCTGTGCTCAGTGCATATTCAGAGCTCAACCAAAGTGTGTTGAATCAGTAGCCAATGAACTTGATCTAATAAAAATGAGAGCCCAGGAGATATAAATTAAGCAAAGTATTTTCCCCTGAGCATTCATGTATCTTTCAATATTTGTAGGCAGTTTACTATTCAGCTCCCAAGCAAGCATTTGAGAATAGACACCTTGAGCAAACTGAAATCGGTGAAAATAGGAATTTAATTTTTTTGAGATAGGGTCTTGCTCTATTGCCCAGGCTGGTGTGCAGTGGCCCGATCTCACCTCACCGCAACCTCCGTATCCAGGGTTCAGGCGATTCTTCTGCGTCAGTGTCCCGAGTCACTGGGAATACAGGTGCTCGCCACCACGCTCGGCTAATTTTTATATTAGCAGAGATGGGTTTCACCATGTTGGCCAGGCTGGTCTCAAACTCCTGACCTCAAATGATTCGCCCACCTTGGCCTCCCAAAGTGCTGGGATTATAGGCGCGAGCCACCACGCCTGACCTTAAGATAGGAATTTATACCCAGAGAGTGCAGGAAAGGACCTTGTACAGCTAGTGCTCGACTTACGACCACGATTGGTTCCGACAGACCGGTCGTAACACGATTTGGTAGTAAGTTGAGTAGGCTATATGTACAGTACTGTGAAATGATGTTATAAAAATCTTTAAGTTATATTTTATCATTTTTTCATTATTGTTATATATCATAATTTTCTTTGTTCATTTTATGCCATTTGTATCATCTCTACACCATTTTGTTTCTTATTTTTACATTCGTTAGGTTTAAGTAAAACACTGCATTACCAGTACAACTGGTTTAATATTTGCAAAACATACAAAATTACAAAATACAGGTGCATACAAAAATACAAAATACAGGCGTAAAAAATACCATAGGAAACATTTTCCTAATTGCAAAACATATCAAAATATATAAACATGTACGAAACATTTTATTGGCCACTGGTGCTTGGCTGCGGATCATTGATGTCGTCAACTGAGGCAGCAGTTTGGGTTGCCGGAGTTGGTTTTTTCATAAACATGGTGAGCTTGCATGTTTCTTTTTTTTCTTCATAAATTTCACCATACAGAGGAAACACATCGTCCGCCATCCATTCAATCCTTGCAAATCGTTCGATGTTTGGGTCCATTGCTTCGAAATGTGTAAGAAGTTTATTCACTAAAGATAAACTGTCTGATAATCCCTTAGTGGTGAACTTTCTTTCTGGCTCCTCCTCTTCTTTCTCTGCTTCTCTTCTTTCTTCTTCCGCCACTCTTTCTTCTTCCAGTTTGATTAGCTCTTCATTTGTAAGTTCTCCGGATTATTTGTCTAGCAACTCTTCGACATCTTCCATCTCACACTCCAAAGAAAGGTCTTTAGCGAGTTTTACTATTTTTTCCCCCAAATCGTTTCAAGTTCACGTTCACTGTCAAATCCGTCAAAATCATTAACATAGCGCTTAACACAATTTTTCCAGATGCCATTCATACACTTTGTCGTCACAGTCTCCCAGGCGGTAGCGATATTCTTGATACACATCAAAATGTTGTAGTGTTTCCAAAAATCTACAGCGGAGCAGTCGTGGCTAGCGATTGTGATCCTAAAGTCGAATGGTCGTATGTTGCATAGGTCGTAAGTCGATCAATACCTGTAATTGTTAACACGTGACACAGTGGCAGATGGGACCTAATGAAGCCAGGTCCACCTTCCACACCAGATTCTCAGTTCCCCAAGAGCAGGCAATAAATGTTTTATTCACCAACATGCCCAGATCACTCACAGTGCCTACACTGGAAAAACACCTGTTGTGAACAAGTGCATGAGGTAACCTAGTGCGCTAGGCATGCCTGACAGCTAGAGTATTTTGCATCTGCCCCTTATTACTGTACTGTGACAAGTTCTAGCATTATGTTGTGGGACTTACACAGTACACTGACAGTAACCTCAGACTTGATCATCTCTGTGTTAGTATATCATCCTAACCGAGTTTCTGTTTTGAATTTTTGTTTTTGGGGGTTTTTGTTTGTTTGTTTGTGTTTTGGAGACAAGGTCTCCCTCTGTCTCCCAAGCTGGAGTGCAGTGGTGGGATTTCTGCAGGCTCAACCTTCTGGGCTCAAGTGATGCTTTTGCTTCAGCCTCTGGGGTAGCTGGCGCCAAAAGTGCGCGCCACGAAGCCCGACTCCTATTTTGGGTTTCTGGTATAGCTCTCACTATTGTGCCCAGGCTAGTCTCGAACTCCTCGGTTCAGGCAATCCTCCCACCTCGGCCTTCCAAAGTACTGGGATTACAGGCGCGAGACACTCGCCCCGCCGGGTTCCACTTCTGAACACGTGGGGAGCCCCTGAGCCTTCCAAGAAAAGTGCTCCACCTCCCGATGGCAAGCACAGCCCCCGGCCCAGCTATCTTTCCAGTGCTGAAAAACTAACATTCAGTAAAGACGCGAAATGATGAAGTCGGGTCAGGATGCCAAAGCAAAGCGCGATGACAGTGAAGACGACGTCTAGACACAAACACATACCAAACCACCCCGCTACCGGCCGGAGCCCACTGCCGGGTCGAGAGCTGAAACTCGCGGCCGGGACAACGGCGACCCCAGGACGGGACGCTCTCAGAGCCAAACTACATCCCCCGGCGTGCACTGCAGCGCCCGCCCCCTCGCCCGCCGAGGGGCCCCGGGAAGAAGGCGGCCGAGCTGCCCGTCTCGCAAGTCCCCTAGGGCCCTTTCGCAGCGGCGCCTTTGCCCACCCCGGACCGGGCACTTCTCGGGGTCCGCGACTGCCGCGCGCCCCAGCGCGGCACCGCTGCCTCAGGAGTCGCCTGGGCCGAGCAGTTCCCGGACTTCCTGTCAGGCTTTCACGCCGGCGCTCCCGCAATCACAGGCTGGAGGGGGTGGGCGTTCCGGCTCCGGAGGACCCTGCCGTGGCCTCGGAAGAACCTCGTCCTGGGCGGCTGTGGTTCGGCGGTCGCCGTGATGGCTTCGGGGCTGGCCGGCTGACCGCCGGGCTAGGAGAGGGCCCAGCGCCCCGAATCTCAGTGGCCGCTGCTCGAGCGCGGCCTGCGCCATGGCCACCTCCGCCGCCTCCTCGGAGCATTTCGAGAAGCTGCACGAGATCTTCCGCGGTCTCCATGAAGACCTACAAGGGGTGCCCGAGCGGCTGCTGGGGACGGCGGGAACCGGTGAGGCGGGGGTGGGCCACGCCGTGGGGAGCTCGGCCCCGCGCGCTTCGGGAGGAAGATTTCCCCACCTTCCTCCCAGCCCCGGGCCCGCGTCTCCTCGCTCCGCGTCCTCAGACACGCCCCCTACGACTGGCTGGGTCCCAGCCCCAGGTCTCCCTACTGCCACTGAGATTGAACTGGGGACGTGCCCAGGGACGGACGTCGGGGGTCAGTTCCCTGGGATCCTTCCATGGCCTTCCACATTTTCTCGTCTCTTTTTTCACTGCGGCAAACAGAGCAGTGGGGCTTTCATGTCTGCGGTCTTGTTGTAGAATGGGTTTCCTTCGTAGCTGTTTTTTGTTTGTTTTATGCATTTAAAAGTATTAGTTTCAAGACAGGTCTAGTTTTCGCTAGACTGCCAGAGAATCTGTGGCACAAAAAAAGGGTTAAAAACCGAAAGGAATCATAATTTGGGGGTGTTGGTAAATACTAGTTACTTACCAACAAGGGGGCATTTAAAACCCAATTGTGGCATTTAGATGTGGTCTTGTTTTGAACATTTGATACCGCTGAGACTATTTACTACCCCTTAATTTCCTGAAGCAGGTTGCTACGAGTTCTGTCTGGAGGAGCTAGCGTTTTTCGGCCCTAAATCCATAGGAATACCTACTGTAGTTCCTGGCCTCCGGACATATAGAACTTGATGTCAAGGATAATTGAAGTTTGAAGTTTTATTGCTTTTACTTAAGGGTCAGAGCTTGGTTGTTTGCTCAACGAATTACTCAAGGTCATTGGAATTGAATGACTGTGGTGAGAATGAAATTCATGTGTTTAGTATATATTTATTGTGATGCTGCTTTGTGCCAGGCACTGTTCTAGGTGCTGGTTAGTATTGCAAATTACAGTGAAAAAGACATGCACATCCCTATTCTAGCAGGTAGATGATAAACAATATGTAATTATTAAGAGGCAGTGTTAAAGTATACAGGAAAATAAATCAGGGTAAAGGAATAGGGGTGGGACTTCAGTTTTATGCTGTTGTTATTTATTTATTTTTGAGACAGGGCCTCACTCTGTCACCCAGGCTAGAGTGCAGTGGCACGATAGCTCACTGCAACCTCCGCTTTCCAGATTCAAGTGATTCTCCTGCCTCAACCTCCAGAGTAACTGGGATTACAGGTGTGCCACCACCCCTGGCTAATTTGTGTGTGTGTGTGTTTTTAGTGGAGACAGGTTGTCACTGTGTTGGCCAGGCTGCTCTCTAACTCCTGACCCCAAGTGATCTGCCTTCTTTGGGACTTCAGTTTTAAATAGGGTGGTTGTGAAAGTCCTCTCTGAGGAAATGGCATTTGAACAGAGACTTGAATGAAGTGAGAGGGTAAACCAGAAATCTGGGAGAAGTGAGTGTCAGAAGGGGAGAATAGCACAGCAAAGGCCCTTAAGCGGAAGTGAGCTTGGTGTGTTCAGGGAAGAGCAAGAGGTTCCATGTGTTTGGAATGGGGTGAGCAAAGGAGAGACGTAGGCAGGACCAGATCATGTAGGGCCTTGTGGACCATGGTGAAAGACTTTTTCTAAATATGATGGCATGCAGTTAAAAGGCATTGTGCAGGCCAGGTGTGCTGGCTCATGCAGCACATGTAATCTCAGCACTTTGGGAGGCTGAGACGGGTGGATCACTTGAGGTCAGGAGTTCGAGACCAGCCTGGCCAACATGGTGAAACCCCATCTCTACTAAAAATAGAAAAATTAGCCAGACATGATGGCAGGTGCCTGTAATCCCAGCTACTTGGGAGGTTGATGGGGGGAGAATCACTTGAACCCAGGAGGCGGAGGTGGCAATGAGCCAAGATTGTGTCATTGCACTCCAGCCTGGGTGACAGAGCGAGACCCCATCTTGGGGAAAAAAAAAAAAAAAAAGTATTGTGCAGAACCAAAGTGGGATCTGATTTATGTGATTGAAAAGTGGGCTGCAGGCCAGTCACAGTGGCTCACACCTGTAATCCCAGCATTTGGGGAAGCCGAGGCAGGCGGACCACTTGAGGTCAGAAGTTCAGTACCAGCCTGGCCAATGTAGAGAAATCTCATCTGTACTAAAAATACAAAAATTAGCCGTGCATGGTGTCACATGCCTGTAGGCCCAGCTACTTGGGAGGCTGAGGCAGGAGAATCAGTTGAACTCGGGAGGCAGAGTTGCAGTGAGCTGAGAAAAAGAGTGAAAAAAAAAAAAGAAAAGTAGACTGCAGTCCAGGAGTGGTGGCTCACACCTGTAATCCCAGCACTTTGGGAAGGTGAGGCAGGAGTACTGATGTGTTGAGGAATTTTGAGACCAGCCTGGGCAACATGGTGAAACCCCATGTCAACAAAAAATACAATAATTAGCCCAGCTTGGTGGTGGGTGCCTGTAGTCCCAGCTCCTGGGGAGTCTGAGGTGGGAGGATCGCTTGGGCCCTGAAGCTAGTGGTTGCAGTGAGCCAAGATCCCACCACTGCACTCCAGCCTGGGTGACAGAGCAAAAATAGAAAATTGAATTCATTATTACTCTAGTTTGAATGTCTCTCTAAAACTTATGTTGAAATTTATTTGCCATTTTAATTTTATTAAGAGGTAGGACTTGTAAGAAATAATTACACCATGAGGACTCTGTCCTCATGGATTGGATTAGTGTTATCCTGAGAGTGGGTTGGTTGTTGAGGGAGTGGGTTAGTTCAGCCCTCTCTTGCTTGCGTGCTCTCTTGATCTGTTGCCCTTTTACCTTCTGCCATGGGATGACCCATGGGCATCAAGAAGGCCCTTGAAAGAAACAGGCCCCTCAGCCTTGGGCTTCTCAGCCTCCAGAACTCTGAGAAATACATTTCTTTTCTTTATAAATTACCCAGACTCTGCTTTTCTGTTGTAGCAACATAAAACTAAGATAGTTGCATTCACCTTTGTTGTCTACCATGCCTTTTTCTCCTTCCTGAAGAGAGAACAGTCAGAAATACGTGATTTTTTTTTTTTTTGAGATGGAGTCTTGCTCTGTCACCCAGGTTGGAGTACAGTGGTATAACCCCAGCTCACTGCAACCTCCGCCTCCCCGGTTCAAGCAGTTCTCATGCCTCGGCCTCCCGTGTAGCTGGGATTGCAGGCGCATGCTACCATACCCCGCTAATTTTTGTATTTTTAGTAGACATGGAGTTTCATCATGTTGGCCAGGCTGGTCTTGAACTCCTAACCTCAAGTGATCTACCCGCCTCAGCCTCGCCAAGTGCAGGGTGCGTGAGCCACTGCACCCTGCAGAAATAGGTGAATTTCTACCCAACCACAAAATAAGTTGCTGGTAACAGACATAGTTGTTTAATGGATAAGTAAATAAAGTATATCCATATCCCTAGAATTAGAGTAAGAGGTCCAACAACTTTACCTCCTATTCAGTACCTCATTCACACTAAATAAACAATAAATATTTGTTGAATAAATTGAATTTATCTAAGCATGGTGCATCATCACTTGAATCCTCTTTTTCTAGTTCGGAGACCACATCATAAACTTTTCAGAGCTTTAATGCCCATTATGAATTATTAGGCACAACACAATGTACATAATACAATCCTTGCATGTAGCTTATAGTATGTGATTGAATTCAGTCATTTTTCAGTAAATACTTACTGAGGATTATTATGTATCAGCCACTATCTGGGCCCTGAGGACTTTCAGAGTTCTTACCTTAAAAGGAAGCAAACTTACAACAAAGTGTGTGATTAATCCTAAAATAAAGTTCTCTGAGACCATAAAAAAGGCTGGGGAAGAGAGGGAAGCCTCACAGAACTTCAGAGTCAACAAAATAGGTTGAATGGGAGTTTGCTAGACAGAGAGAAATGGGAAGAGGCAACACAAGGAGTTAAAAATGGAATACTCCCAACTCTGGAGCTTAGAATGTATGTGGGAAAGTAGTGGTAGATGGGGCAGGTGAAATACAGCCAGATTGTGAGGGGATCTTAGTGTCACATTGAGGCATTTGTTATGGGAAAGGTGGTAAAGGACTTAAAGCAGTTGATTGATGTGGATTTTCTTTTAGAAGGAGGGCATTAATGGCTGAATAGGGGATGAGAGAGAGAGCACAAGAATCTGTGTACAGGGGACCATTAAAAGCCTTTTGTGCAGTTGTCTTGGTAATGGGAATCCGGAGAGTACTGAATCTAAGAGGTGCTTCGTTGTTTGTTTTTTGTTTGTTTGTTTGACACAGGGTCTCACTCCTGTCTCCTGTCACCCAGGCTGGAGTGCAGTGGCACCGTCACTGCTCACTGCAGCCTTGGCTTCTTGGGCTCAGGTGATCCTCCTACTTCAGCCTCCTGAGTAGCTGGGACCCCAGGCGTATGCCACCAGGCCTGGCTAATTTTTTTTAAAGTTTTAGTAGATATAGGGTCTCCCGTGTTGTCAAGGCTATTCTCGAATTCCTGGGCTCAAGTGATCCACCCACATCAGCTTCTTAAATTGCTGAGATTACAGGTGTGAGCCACAGTACCCGGCCCAAGAGGTGGTTTGGAGGCAGAAATTAACCAGCCTCATTGGTTATGAGGAGCGAGGAAGAAGGATTCCAGGGTGTCTGCATTTTTTCACTTGGTCAACTGGTGAATGATGAACTTAAAAATATAAGAGGAAGAGCAGAGTTGTTTAGGTTGTGGATGAGATTATCAAAGGTACCTGTAGAATAGAGATCATAATATACGTCCATTCTAGCCTCACAAAATAGTTGTTCTTCTGCCATTAAAAATAACATATGGGGGCCAGGTGTGGTGGCTCATGCCTGTATCCCAACATTTTTGGAGGCTGAGGCAGGAGGATTGCATGAGGCCAAGAGTTGGAGACGAGCCTTGGCAATATGGTGAGACCCTATCTCTACAAAAAGTAAAAAAAAAAAGAAAAAATTAGCTGAGTGTAGTGGTGCTTACCTGTAGTCCCAGCTTCTCAGGAGGCTGAGGCAGGAAGATCACTTGAGTCTAGAAGTTTGAAGTTATAGTGAGCTGTGATCACATCATTGCACT